GGCCCTGACTCATTAAATATTGTCTTTATTTATGTGTATTTATACACATATGCAGTTATCCATTAATATCTATCTCCAAAAGTAATACTGTGAGCTCTTTGCAGACAGAGACTGTAAGTCAGGTTTCCTTATCATTGTGTAATCTATCACTTTTCTCTAACCTTAACACTTAGGAGATTGTTATTAAAGTTTGTCCATTGTGAATGAGGTCCTTCTTAGTTTGATCTTGTCTTTCTGAAACATCTATTTACTGCTAATTTTTATGGTTCTAGGAAATGTTATAAGTCCATATGCCAGATACTGGAAATATAAACATGAATAAAATACCCTCCTCTCTTCCCTCAAGGCTCTTCATTTTTGACCTGGGGAGAAATATACCAATACTTTTAATTCAGAATGGTAAGTGCCATGGCAAAGACAACTGAGGAAGAATTGTGAAAACTGAGAGGAAGCCAAGTAATGTTGGAATTGAGGTAGGAAAAAGGGAGCAGTGGATGCCAATGGACTCCTTCCAATAAAAGATGGTAAGGTGAGTTTTGATGGCCTAGCACTAGAATTCTTGATTTTTCAACATTCCTCAAAATAGATTAAATGATGCATGCTCTTGTATAGGGTAATCTTTCAACTATATAAAGGTCTTTCCTTTAAACTTTTTCTAGGACATAATATAAAATTTTCTTCAATGATTTCTCATATATAAGTACTTTGTATCCTTTTTTTTGTATTAGTTCCACATCAAATTATCTTAATGACATAAAGAAAAGTCTCTGAAGGAAAGGAATAGAGTACCTGGCTTTAAGTTACATAGTTGCAGCTGAACTCTAAATGTATCTATTTAGCATGATTTGCAGTTTTAGTGTGACTTACAAGCACACAAAAATGATACGTAGAATATAAATAAAACTCAGCCTTTTCCCTCAGCATGCTAAACAAAATTGAAAGATAAAAGTTGAGAAATGTAAATAAGTTTAAAGTGAGACACTGGCAATTGTTATGAATTTCCACAATTAGAAAATGAATAGGAATCCTATAGCTGTCTCCAGGTAAGCAACTCTATTTAATGAGTTGGGGAGGTGGCTCTGAGTTAATATCATTGCCACGGTAATAATTCTTACTTATTATATCAGTGAGAGTGCTGTAGGGAAGTATGTAGTTATTCGCATGGGTTAAGTGTAGTGTGTTAGGAAAATGTTAAATATCAGGAGACAGAGATATTAACCATGACACTAAAATATTTTTCTCATTCTAAAAGTTAATTTAAACTTGCTTTATGAAGGCATAAGCTTAGTAAGGACCCTCTCTACTCTTTATACAACATTACTTTTTAGTTGGAAATGATGCTTTTGGTTTTTTCAAAGAGATTTTGGAAAATCTACTGAATTCCACTAAAAAACAAAATCAGCTTCAGGTTGCACCCATATACTAGACCCCCAAAGTGATCAAACAAGCTGAACAGCTGCTAGATGTTCATTAAACCTGTGCTAGAAAAGTGTACATTTCATGAATTTCTCCTGGGAGATTTGTGTCTAAGATGAGACTAGAAATCACACTCCCTCCTATAAAGCAACTTGGACAAGATTCAAACTGGGAATATGTGTATAATTAATCAATGAAAATCGCTAATCTCATTTCCTGTGCTTATTTGTGCAATAAACTCTCTTATGGGGCTACATGTGATACTTGCTAGGCTTTTGAAAAAAAGGGATTTGAAATAATCACTCAGTTGTTTATGGAGACATGGAGTTCTTAGAGAGTAATAATGTATAAATGGTAAGCTCCTAAAGGACAGGAACTCTTTGTAAGTGTAAAGGATTTCACACATACTTATTGCTTTGCTAAATTCAATCAAATACCTGCAGTGGTGGTGTCTCTAGTCCTTAATCTGGATAAATTGCTCTTTTACCAAATGGCTATCCAGGTTATGTCCAAGGATGATATCTTAACTTTATCTATTTAATTTAACCTAAATAAAGTTAAGACAGAATAATAATACAGCATTGCCAAATACTGTATTTATCTCATTACTCAAGATTTGCAGCATTTTCTTAGATGAACTCATCCCTCAGCATAAAGTCTATTAAATGCCAGAGTTATACAGGTGGTTTCTGAATTCTGAATTTTATGTCAAGAGATATAAAAAATGCTGCAAATGAAATTCCAGATTATCAAAAATGTAAAAACCACCCAAACAATTCTCTATAAACAGATTACTATTCTATTCACTGATGGGTTTTAGTTTTCTTCATTCACAATTGAAAATTGGGATTTTGGATTGCCCTGACCGGCCAAACCCAGCCAGTAATAATTACTACTTATTCAGAAGTGGTGTTTGATGTCATGTTTATTTTATTATCAGCAGGGCCAGAGAAACTTGTCGTGGTATATTGATACTTTATTCGATTGTTTAGGAAAATGAGGAAGAGGGATATTCTAGTCAGAGAGTTCAAGAAATAGTTCTCAAAGCAATGTCCTAGGACTAGCAACGTCAGCATCACCTGAGAGTTGTTAGGCATGCAGATTTTCAGCCCCACCTCAGACCTACTGAATTGTACACTCTGGACTGGGAACCAACCGTGTGCTAACAAGCCCAGCAGGTGATTTTCATATTCTCTAACACTGGACTAAAATGAGGAATATGATGGACAATGGTGCATTTGGAATACATTAATTTTTCATCCTGACTCAACTTTAGACTAACTGCGAATATTGGTAAAGCTCGAAGATGAAAAAGTAAGCCAGATGACAGTGTACCTTGTGTACCTTCATATGGCATTTATACTGGGACAGTGGGATGATGGGCAGCTGCTAAAATGCTTCTAAGCAAGGAATTGATAAAGAAGTGCCTGTTCAAATAACTCTAAGGTCACTGTGAGAAGTAGCCTGAATCTCTGACTGAATAAGGTGGCCCAACAAGGTAAGGTCATAATTGCCTAGAGATTCAATGATGTCACAGTTGCAGAAGACTTTTAGATGCTGAGAAAGGAGTATCTAACTCTGAGTGATAATGGGCTGAGTGAGAATGTAAAGATCTGCATCAAGTTTTTGATAATGAGTAGATGTTGAAGCTACTAAAAGCAATTGAAAATATCTTTGAGGGGCCACTTTCATAAGAAACTAAATGTTTGAGGTTTGTTGAATTTGAAATTTCTGTGGGGCCTCTGAGGTTTAGGACTCAGAATTCTAGTTATCAATTATTTAGCTAATTAGGCAGCTACATGTAAAATTAAACTGTGGGAACAAATGACATATCCTAAGGAAACTGTGGAGGACAATTAAAAACTGAGAGCAAAGCCCAGAAATTGCTAAACATGATCTTTATGGGTATGCTAGAGAGAAAAAGACTCAAAGGAAATTTTAGTGTCTGCTTTTGCCAAAACACCCAAGGATCTAGTCTTCTATTGTCTAACTACAAAAATCATTAGCCTAGGCTTAAATGAATATGGCTAACCTGGAATAGTTAAGGTTCGCATAATTTTGAGAGGAGCTCAGCTGTTTTAAAGATAAATGTTAAAAATGGGCTACTAAAGCAGCAATGCTCTCAAAAAGTGTAATTCAACCCAACGACAAGTAGAATAAGAAAATGTACATAGAGTCCTTGAAATAATAGCAAAATAACTGATTTAAAGGACAAGTATAATTAGTAATAATTTGAGCAATTAAAAAATTAATAATCACAAAGAGATAATTGCCTTAAGCCCTTTCTCCTCCAGCCTGTCCATTGGTGTTCAACATTTCCTCTGCTCCCAAAATGAGCACTGCTCACCTGAATTATCCAATACCCTAAGCTTTACTAAATTTACTGGAGAGAAACTTACCATTAAGAAAATTAGTTCACAACAGAGTTTATTTCCATAGTGACCCTTGGTCTTAGACCAAGTTACAAAAACAGCATGCTACTGCATGTTACTTCAGAGCCATAAGCACACTTGTAACCAAACGCACAACCCAATAATGTTTAAAGTATACCATGCAGACACACACACACACACACACACACACACACACACACTCACATATACACATTTTAGGATAGGGAGGGTATATAAAATGGATTATCTCTTGCCAATGTCTCTCCTTTCACTCCAAATTAAAGATAATGAGGCCAGAAGAGTAATTGCTGAAGGAGTTTAGAATATAATTACTGAATTAATCTCAAATATGGTGGTGACTGTAGTACAACAAAACTCACTTTACAGCTGTCAGAACCACTTGGAATGTGATACACATCTTGTGTTTGCAAGCCCAAATCTATACCAAAGGAAGTTCCATATTATCAAATTACCACAACAACCTGCTACATTCTGATTTTGTAATGACAAAGCGCATTAAACTGGGATCACTTAAGTTGGGAATGTGAGACATGTTTCCAGTTGGGTGGGGAAATAGGAAAGATGGCAGGTTTGTGGAGGTTTCTATGGGATCCTGTTGCATTTCCAGTTTCCAAGCCTGTGATTTGTAAACATCTCTGCTTTCATTTGTTCCCACTGATCACTGAAGAGTTCAGGTTTAAGGAAGCTTAAACTAAATGATACACCTTTGCAACTGCAGGTCAAGACTGCATGGGGGAGAATGGACATTTCCACAAGCTTGGACACAAATGTCCGTGGGACATTCCAACCTCACAATTCCTATGATTTTTCTGTTCCCTGTGTTTTTCCACCAGGATCCAGAAAAAGTCCCACATCCTCCTTCAATCTATTCACCCCACTGACAAAGAACAATCTCTATTTTAGCTGCCTTTGTACTCTTCTAACACCAACAATAGTATTTCTTAACTCTATTTTTTACCCAGAGGCCCTTGGCTCTTCTGCCTCTTCTTGCCATCCCTTTGTGACATGACTGGCCCCAGCCAGGGCCCTGGCAAGCTAGGCTCACAAATGTAAGTGTGACATGTAAGTGCACTCAGGACTCTGGGAGACTCAGGCCGGCTTGCACTCAGGTCCTGCTGCCCCAATACCAAGACCTACTAGAAGCAAGCCCTACTAACTCCGTCACTCACCATGGCCAGCCAGGTCTGCCTCCCTCTTGCCCCACGCCTCTCTTCTCTGAAACCTTTGAAGACACTCTCCCAAGACCTCCAGGTGGGCCTCTGTGTATCAATCCAGCGCAGTGACAAGAGGATCCACCCTGCTGTAGTCACAGGGATCAACAGAGAAAACTCTTGGGTCACTGTAGAGTGGGTTGAGAAAGGAGTCAAAAAAGGCAAGAAGACTGATCTAGAGACGATATTCCTGCTGAATCCAGGTCTGATCTCTGCTGAACACCAAACACCATCCAGGCCCTTGCGTCCCTTGGCTCTAACACCCTCAGCAGCCACTGGTGACCAACATACAGCCACTCAGTGGGTTGCAGTGGTTCCCCCAAAAAATGAAACACCCTCGGGGGATAGCCTGTCCTTTATAGTTCCCAGCAACCCTTGTCTGATGAAGCAGAAAAAGTCTCCTTGTGTGAGGGAAATTGAGAAGCTCCAGAAACAGCGAGATGAACGCAGGCAACTGCAGCTGGAGAGACAAGCAAGACGAGCCCTTGAGTTCAGCACAAAGAATCCAAATTATGAGATCATGGGTATGATCGAAGAGTATCGCAGACACCTGGATAGCAGCAAGCTGTTCAGCCTGGAGCCTCCTGAAGACCACAGGATCTGCGTCTGTGTGAGGAAGCGGCCCCTCAACCAGAGAGAGACCACCATGAAGGACCTGGACATCATCACTATCCCCTCAGACAACATGGTCATGGTGCATGAGTCCAAGCAAAAAGTGGACCTCACCCGCTACCTGGAGAACCAGACCTTCTGTTTTGACCATGCCTTCGATGACAAGGCCTCCAATGAGTTAGTGTACCAGTTCACTGCCCAACCACTGGTGGAGTCTATCTTTCGCAAGGGCATGGCCACCTGCTTTGCCTATGGGCAGACTGGTAGTGGGAAGACGCACACCATGGGAGGAACCTTCTCTGGAAGGACCCAAGATTGTTCTAAAGGCATTTATGCCCTGGTTGCGCAGGATGTCTTTCACCTGCTCAAAAGCTCCACTTATGATAAGCTGGATCTCAAAGTCTATGGGACATTTTTTGAGATTTATGGTGGCAAAGTGTATGATTTGCTGAACTGGAAGAAGCAACTGCAAGTCCTTGAGGATGGCAATCAACAAATCCAAGTGGTTGGGCTGCTGGAGAAAGAGGTGTGCAGTGTGAAGGAAGTGCTGAACCTTGTCAAGCTAGGAAACAGCCGTCGGACTTCTGGGCAGACATCTGTCAACTCCCATTCATCCAGGAGCCATGCAGTGTTCCAGATCATCCTGAGGTCAAAAGGAAACCTGCACGGCAAGTTTTCCCTTGTTGACTTAGCTGGGAATGAAAGAGGAGCAGATACCGCCAGGGCCAACCGGAAGAGGCAGCTGGAAGGGGCAGAGATTAATAAGAGTCTCCTTGCCCTCAAAGAATGTATCCGGGCTTTGGGTCGGAACAAGTCTCACACTCCATTCAGAGCAAGCAAACTCACACAGGTGCTCCGAGATTCTTTCATAGGCCAAAACTCTTCCACTTGCATGATTGCTACTATCTCACCAGGGATGACTTCTTGTGAAAACACCCTCAACACTTTAAGATATGCCAACAGAGTAAAAGAATTAGCACTACATATAAAGCCCTATCATCGTTGCTTCTCTCCAATTGGACATGAGGCACCACGGATGTTAGAAAAGCACATTAGGAATTCTGAATGTTCCCTTCAGAGGACTGGATTTATTAAAATACCTCATACACAGAGAGAGCAGAAGAATCAGAGTAAAGAAATTGCAACATTTTCCACACCATTAGTGAAGGACACAGCAGCTTCATGGAAAAAATCTAGACAGTGGTGGGAGAACGTCCAGGAGACAGCCAAAGGAGTAAACTGTGATGTTGATTTTTGCATTGCCCAGTCACTGTCCATTTTGGAGCAGAAAATTGCTGTTTTGACTGAGATACAAAAGAAACTCAGATTATTACGAGCTGATCTCCAAAAGAAGACCAAAATAGAGTGAAGCCAATGACAAAAGATCAGGACTGAAATAATGGAAATAGTGCTTTCCTACCTCTCATACAGGGAAATCTTTAAATGATCTAAACATAAAGATCCTTCTGGGAAGTTTACAAAATCTTAAAGCTTGCTGGTCAGAAATACGGTTTTTCTTCTTTCTCAGTATTTTGGTACTTGTTCATTCTGTTGGACAACTAGGAGTGATTATATTTCACCCTTCCTCCTCCCCAGTCATTGACAATAACAGTGTCTGGAAACATTTTTGTTTTCACAACTGGGGTTGGGGATACTGGCATAGTCCCTCTGAACAAAGTGTAATGTACAGGACAGCTTCTCACAACAAATAATTAGGTATTCGTTTGAAAATAACAATAGTACTGAGGTTGAGAAATCTTATTGTAGAGGAAACCAGCTCTGATGAAATAAAAAATTTGCAGCTAGCAAAGGAAAATATGCTGAATTAAAGGCTCAAGCATATAAATACACCAAGGGATCACATGATATACTAAATACATCATTTTCTGCTGCATTGCTATGTATATTCACATGGTTTCTGAGATCCAGTCATTCTGAGAGGAAGAAGAGGAATTTTTTTTGAGACTATTTGTAAGAACTTAGAATTGAGAGGGATTTTTTAAAATAACCTTTGGTACTACGTTTTCTGGGAACAATTAATGTGGAGTGTGAGATTGTGTGTGTGTGTGTGTGTGTGTGTGTGTGTGTGTGTGTGTGTATGTTGCATAAGCCAGGACTTTTTTTACTGTGATCTCTTTAAATTTCTTTCTCTCTAAAACTCTTTACCACATTTTGTACTTACATGAGTCACTTAAAAAGCCTTCCTGTTTCCAGTTGTGGCAGAAAGGATGTCGTTAAAACTGTAGAAAAGTTTCTACATAAATGAAACTTATCTCACATCTTCATGAAGTTCTCAAATGTGAGAAACCTTACCTTCTCAATAGATACCTTACCATATCAATTAGATACATCGAAATTTTTCCCTGATTTAGGGATCAAGAATATTTTTAAAGGATTAAAGTGATATGTTTTGTACGTGTACATGGCAGCTTGGGGAAATTCAGATACACAATAAAAGTAGCTTCCAAATTCTGCCACTTATTTTAACAGGTATAGCCTTATTGTTATCAGGCTTTTACCTTTAAATTACAAAGGCCTCCTCCAGAACTGAGGACAACTGACACATAAATTGATTACACAGTAAAATTATATCCTTTCAAGAGCTATCCATGTAAAACAATCAAGATTATCATTAATATCTGATCTTTAGTATTTGATAATTGGTCTCTATTTTTCCCTGTGCTGCTTTATCTACACAGATGAAATTCTATATTATTCTTAAAATTAATAAAACTTTTGGCGATCTGTTGTTCTTTAGCATCGGGTGGTCTTTCCATTACCATGAGGTGTTTCAAATCTCGGTTATGTTCATATGCAATGAAAAAGAATGGGGTTACAAATTTGGTCTGGTTTCTAGTGTTGGCCTCTTTATTTAGGTATCTATGATTTTGGAGAAGTGACTTAGCTGCTCAGAGTGGTTTCTTTCTATATGAACCAGGATAATTTATAGCATTACCCCCAAAAGATTAGAAGATCATTTTATTTTCTTCCTCCCTCCCTCAACTTTTATGGCAATTACTGACGTTCTTATTATCTTCAATCTTGTTCTACTTATCATCTCCATCACCCTACCATTTCTGCCACAAAGTATGGGTAGATTTCAAAAAGTTTTAACATTCTAATAGTTCCTATTCCTTTATTTTTAATGTAGTGCTTAGTTAAAATATAACCTAAAGTGCACACATAGTCATAAAATTCAATGAATGTTTGCAAAGTGAGCACACTCATGTGATACCACACACATCAAGATGTAGAACATCGGTGTCCAAAAAGCTGTACTTCTGCTTCATTTCAGTCATTATTCTCAACATTCAAGTTAAAGATTATTTTGACTAAAATTACCTTAGCATTTGTCCCTGTAACTTTTCTGTTTCATATGAGTGATTATATAGCAGTTACATTTTCCCTGGTTTGATATAATCAAAGTTATCTGTAATCTGATCTTTTACATTTTTTACTAGGATTATACCACATAAGTATCACAATTTGTAAATTTGACTTTTTTTTTTTTTTTGTAGTACTGGGGCTTGAGCTCAGGACCTTCACCTTGAGGCTCTCCACCAGCCCTTTTTTGTGATGGGTATTTTCAAAATAGGGTCTCATGACCCTGTTTTGGTGATGGCTTTGAACCATCACCATCCTGATCTCTGAGTCCTGAGTAGCTAGGATTACAGGCATGAGCCACCTTAAGTCTGTTTTAAACAATTACAACCAGTGATACTATGGACATTCTTATGCATTTGTTTTGTTGCACACTTACACATACCTTGGTTCATGGCATGTATATATTCAACCTAATGAATTATGCTAAATTTTCAAAAGGGTTTGTACCAATCAACACAATCACCAACACTTCACAAGGATTTTGGCTCCATGTGTTTGCCTATACCTAATATTTTTAGTTTTAAAAACTTTAATTTTGCACATTCTGATATGTGTCCAAAGGCTTATTGTTATAGTTTCAATTTTTCTTTTCCTGATGATTAATCATAGTGAATATTTTTACATATGCCTATTGGCTATTTAGACATTCTGTTTAATGCAGTATACATATCTTGGATATAACTTCTTCAGATATTTAGATTGAAAATATTTTCTGCCTGTGGATTGCCTTTGCACTCTTTTCAGGGTGCCTTTTGATGATCAGAAATCTACGTATGTAATGAGATTCAATTTACAATTTTTGTTTAAGGGTTAAACTCCATTTAAGAAATCTCTGTCTACCTCAAAAGGGCATTCTCCTTTGCTATATTCTAAAATCATTATATATTCCACTTTTCATCCACATGGAATTGATTTTTTTGCATATAGCATGAGATACAGCAGTTAAGGTTCTTTTAAAAATATAAGCAATGCAGAGAAGAAGAAATATTTATTGAAAGAGTATCCTCCTACCACTGCAATTCAGTATTACTATATTATCAATCAGATGACCCATAAAATGCTTTTATGTTTACCTGATTTGTCCTCTATCAAATCCACATTTTATTACTTTATAGTAGGTCTTGATAAATGTTAGTATAATTTGATGCTGTGGTGTGGATAGGTGTCCCACAAAGACGTATGTGTTACATTCTTGATCTCCAACTTGAAGTGCCACTGGGCGGTGGTGGAGCATTTAAGAAATAAGGACTTGTGGAAGAAAGTTCGGCCACCAGAAGTTTGCCTATGAATGAGATATTAGGGCCCAGCTCCCTCCTTTTTCTTTCTCTTTACTTCCTTTCTGCAATGAGATAAGCAGCTTCCTTTTCCCACCATAATGTACTGCCTTACCACAGACCCAAAGGCAATGAGGCCGAAGGACAATGGACTGAAACTTCTGAAACCCTGAGCTAAAATAAAATACCTTCCTTATAAGTTGATTATCTGAATTATAAATTATAGGAATGGAATGCTAAGAGTTCACCATGTTCATTATTGGCTCAGCTTTTTACCTTTTGCATTACCAATATGAATATTAGAACCTGCTTGGAATTTGCCAATTCATTCATGTTAACACACACATACTCTAATTTATTAAAGCTTTGATTGGATTGAATGAATCAATAATTTGTACAGCTGTAAAAATTTGCTTTCTTTATATCCTTATTTAAGCTGTTTTCTACTTAAAATTTACTTGTTTACTTTTTCAAAGTTTCTGTTACAAAGACACAAGGCATTAACCTTGGACTAAGATCATCATTATCACTGTTTTCCAGCATCTTGTCCTCCTATAAAGTCTTCAGGGACAATAGCACACATGAAGTCATTTTCTATGATGACAATGCCTTCTGAAATAATACAGAAGGATTGGCCCTAGGTTGTCTTACGGCTAATATTCTTTTCTTTATAAGTACAAGGTGTGCATTCTGAAATAACGATAAAAATGTAACATAGTAAATATGTAAATCAGTAACATAGCCATGCATGATCACCAAGTACTGTGTACTGTGCATAGTTTTATGGGCATTGGTTTGTACAAGTGGCAGCACAGTAGATTTGTTACATGAGCATCACCACAAACATATGAGTAACATATTGCACTAAGGCATTCTGATGGCTAAAATCTCACTAGGCAACAGGTATTTTTCAGAACCATTGTAATCTTAAGAGACCACCATAATATATGCAGTCTATCACAGACCTAAATGTTACAAGGTGCACATGATGGTTTATAATTTGCTACCTAGACAAATGTACTAGTTATTAGAGGCTTTATTGTAGTTTTTTAATTCGTTGCAAGTTTCAAAATTGAAAACTAAAAAGTTTTAAAAGCAATTCACCTACTTTTTTCTGATCTCTTCAGAAGGAACGTATAAACCTAGCTCTGTGTGTGTGTGTGTGTGTTCTCCAGGATGCTTACATCCATATCAGAACACAATACCTCTTTACTAAAAAATTGCCTCCTTGCAAATTAGTCTTAGTATGTTTGCCTTAGTTAGGTTACAGTTTTTCCTCAGTAAGTGCACATTAGTATTTCCACTGATTTTGAGATTTTTCTTGAGAATATATATGTCTTTGAAATGATGCGAAAACATATATCAAAAATTTCTTATGAACATCAGAAAATAAAATATTATTTAGGTAAAAAAATCTCAAAAAATAAATTAATTGGAGTCCACTAAAAGAGAGCTGTTGACAGTTTGCACAGATGCTCTGAAGTTAAAAAGAATTGTAAAGTAATTTAACACTTTAACAAGATTGTAGGCAAAATGTCAGAGCGCCTAAGCTGAGAAAAATACTTTTAGTACTTTGAAAACATCCATTTATGCACAAAAACTTGACATGCTAATTAGAAGCTATGCTTATCTATTAATTAAAGTAGATTTTCTGTATTCCTATAATGGACAGACTTATTCTAAGTTGCTGCATTAACTCACAACTAATAAA